TATGTTTCTATAAATATTTAATAGCATTATTTGGATTTTAATCTTGGACAAATGATATGAGCAGATGGAGTCAAATGGAGCTCTTTCCAAGGCTGGCTTAACTGCTTGAGAGGGAGCAGAGTCGGCTCTAACCCAGCCAGAAAATACAAGCAAGTTTTTTTTCTATTATTGTAATGGTATATGCTGCTAAAGAGAAATTATTCTGTTATGCTTTACCTAGTAAAGCACCTCAAAGTGCAATGAGAATGAGCAAAGTGTCATAAGCAGCCATCAAATTTCAGTTTATTGTAATCTGTTAAGATATGATCTCGTAACACGCTAATGCACAAATCTCAGACAAACATGAAAGGAAGGAAACTGCTTTTAACAACTTCGATTTTTTTATTCAGTAGTTAATGTAGGCTCCTCCATCTCCCTTTGTGGATTCATGCAGAGAGCTAGTGGGAGTTGTGGCTCTCCGATGCTTAGCAGCCACACAAGGTTGTACAGCGCAGACAAATTTCCTATCAACATGCCTGTGGGCTGCACTAACAGTCCATGTCCGCACAGGCGGTGTGCAAGTGGAGTGGTCCACCCTACACTGCCTGTATTGTTATATTGGAACTACATCATTCCCAGTTTACAAGGCAAGCAAGTTAGCAAACGGACACAAAGCCAGCCACAAACGTACAACATTCACACTTGCATCACTTCAAAGTATCACGATTTACAGTGCGACTTTGCAGCATGACTTTGATGAGACTTGGAGTTCAACGTTGGTCCCACTCAAAGTGTTACTAAACCCAGTACCCTGCATTCACTATATCTGGTCTCCCACAGTACACAGAACCTGGAAATGCAATTATTTTAGCAAATATAAATTGATAAATATTTTTTCTCATCAGCAGTTAGAGCAGTCTTGTGGCTTCTATCAGTGTTCAGCCAAGCACTAGCTAAAGCTTGTAGGAGGGGTTTTCTTTCTGCTCTAGAAGGATGAAAAACCCCTGACCTCTATCTGACCAGTGATGACCTGAGCTGGCCCTGAGCCGATCACATGCACTCTCCCAAGGAAAAAAAAACTCCTCTCTAGCAGTACACACCAAACTGAGCATGTGCAATTGCCTATGGTTCAGTCTGTCTTATTAGGAGGTGATCGCTTGAAAAAGGGGAAGAACAGAGAAAAAAAGGCTCAAAAGGCCTTTTTACACAATGCAGAAGATTAACCCCTTAGGTTCTACAGTGAGTATAACAAGCATGCTTTACTGCAGATACAGACTGATTTTACTGTTGTGGGTTTAGTAACACTTTAGCACTCCCTGGAACAAAGTCATATCAAAGTAGTACAGGCACCTTTTCAAATTTGCTGTGACTTAGTCACACCGATTTGACCGGGTGTCATTGAAAAGAATGGGCTGTGACTTGTTGATGTCCAAAGTCGCATGACAAGTCAAACAAAGTGAATGGAGCCTCAAAAGTGCTTCATACGCTACACTGCCCCACCATGTACTACCTCTGCTTGCCATTACTACACTGGCATGCACTTCCACATTCTCAGTTACCCATGTGCACTTCCCCACTCATCACAAGTGCATTGATCTGCACTTCTGCTCTATGTGCCATAGCACTACTGCACACTTCTCCAGTCATAGTCAAACTACAACCAATTGCCATCAGGTACTTCTGCACTGCCTGCCACTGTACCAATGTGCATTTCTGCACTGGTAGCCATTGAATTGATGGAGACTTTTGCTGTCATCATCTGGGAGTTCAGTAGCTGAAACAGCAGGCAAGTTTGTGGTCATGTACCGACCGGGTTCAGTACACAAGCAGGTGGAAGCAGTATAGGAGAGCAGAATTGGTGATCGAGCCAAAGTGAGAAGCTAAGGGTATCAGGTCAGTGGTTGATGCAACCAAGAGTTGGAACACAAATAGTTGTAATAAGGACATAGCACAGAGGTAGCAACAAGAAGCAAAACAAACACTGATATAAGGTCATTAATCTGGAAGCGAAATGCAGAGGTATGGCTTGTACAGAAAGGTCAAATGAGGATTAAGGAGTTCAGTGTTTAGCAAAAAACTGGGTATCAATGAAGATTGACCAAGAGATCAGGCAAGAAGTCCTGATCTTCAGGTAGCTCAGTAGGAAGAGCTACTGCCAGGCACTACAGAGACCCTGAGTTCAGATCTGATCCTGATATTTGCACTGGTCATCACTGATGGAGATGTCTGCACTGGTCACCATTGCACCAATAAGCATGTCTACACAAACTATTGCCAATATTGCTGCACTAGATGTTGTGCTATACATTAATACCACTAAGAAATGTTTTACATAACTCAGTAATCACCTCTTTCCACAAATTACGGTAATATTAAAAGGCACTGCATAATGGTTTCATATATATTATTATTATTATAATACAGGATTTATATAGTGCCAACAGTCTGCGCAGCACTTTACAAAATGAAGGTAGACATGACAGTTACAATACAATTTGGTATAAGAGGAAACAGAGAGCTCTGCTCGCTAGAGCTTACAGTCTAGGAGGAAGGGTTGAGTGATACAAAAGGTAATAGCGGTGGGGAAATGAGCTGATGGAGGAAATAAATGACAGTTTACTAGGTAGAAGCAGGATAGGCTTCTTTAAAGAGAAAGGTTTTCAGAGATAGTCTAAAGGTGGATAGATTAGTAGACAGCTGGACAGATTGGGGTAGGGAGTTCCACAGGATGGGAGAAGCTCGAGAGAAGTCCTAGAGGTGAGCATGGGAGTAGGTGACACGGGAACTAGAGAGCAGAAGATCTTGGGAGGATTAAAGAGAGTGTTTTGGTTGATATTTTGAGACCAGGTTGGTGATGTAGCTGGGGGCAGAGTTATGGACAGCTTTGTAAGTTGTTAGTATTTTGAATTTTTTTATTCGTTGAGCGAGTGGAAGCCAGTTGAGGGATTGTCAGAGAGTAGCAGACACTGAATGGTTGGTAAGGTGGATGAGCCTGGAAGCAGTATTCATGATGGACTGGAGGAGGGGTTATCCTATGTAAAGGAAAGCCAATGAGGAGGGAGTTGCAGTAGTCGAGGCGAGAGAGATAACCAGGGAGTGAATTAGGGGCTTTGTGGTATCATTGGTTAAAAAGGGGTGTATTCTGGAGATGTTGCGGAGGTTGAGGCGGCATGATTTGGACAGGGATTAGATGTGGGCCTTAAAGGATAATTCAGAATCCAGGGTTACACCTAGCACCTTGATATGCGGGGATGGGTTGACAGTGGCGCTATTGATCCTGACCGAGAAATCGGGGGAAGAGGCACATGGGGGAGGAAATATTATGAGTTCGGTTTTGGATAGATGGTCCTTTCCATGTTTTCCTTGGCTATCTTCATCTGCTTTTGCTGAGAATATCCCACCATTATACAGTGCCCAAACTGGAGTCTTCATAGAGCAATGAATGAGTCGTGGGGGCTGAGGACAGTAACATGGAGGGCTGAGGACAATAACGTGGGGGGAACTGAGGACAGTAATGTGAGGGATGAGGACAGTAACATGGGGGGTCTGGGGACAGTAATGTGGGGGGATGATTAAAAAAAGGGGCAGAGTACTATTCAGTGAAGGAGACAGAGGACAGTACTATTAGGAGGATTGGGGTAGTGGTTGTCAAGGGGGAGCCGAAGACGCTCATCAAGAAGGATCTTGCTGTGAATGAGGAGGGGACTGTGATGTGCAGTGGGGATTGAGGACACTGATGTGAGAACAGGTTCAGATCTGTACATGTGCATTTGGTGCACACGTTGTGGGTAGGTCAGCACTACCTGCTAGAAACCTGAAGAAGTCCCCAACACTTTTTTCCCAAATTGCACCACAGCGGCCTACATGAGATTCGGACCTCAGATGCATGCACATTTTACTGCCTGGACCTTGGTGAATTTTAATTTAATACCCCTGATCTATATAGTCAAAAGGCAAAGCAAAAAGCTATAAGCTATATTTTCTGTAAGTCTGCTCTCTCCTACCATCAGCATGCTTCATGTCAGCACATTACCTGATTGGGATCTTGTACTGCTTCTTTCACACTCAAGCCCTGCTGTACAAGGACTACAAAAGCCTGATACAGGTCAAATTTGGGGATTTACACTGCTTGCATTTAACAAACACATTTAACAATGTATAATTGATTACAAAGCTGTGTCTTTTATAGTGTTCAGCTTCAAAATACAGTCTGAATAACACAGATGCAATACGAATGCTAAAATCACTAGGCAAAGCAGGTTTCAGAAATGAATGTACCATTTTCATTTTTCTCAAATCAATGGAAGAGACATTTGGTTATTTTACAAGCACCCACATATAAAGTACTTCAATGGCAAATCATTTTATTAAATATCCTTCTTCATTAATGACAAACGATGAAGTCATCCTTCAGTCATTGGCAGGGCTTGCAGGCTGATATTATCCTGATGCTGTTGCTGGCAGCCCTTGTGCTATGTTTTCATTTTTATTTGAAGCCTGGGCTGAGTGCAGTGTATAAATATCACAGCAGAATTGGATCATAGTTCAGATTAATAATATAAATCGATATTCTAGTGAAACAGAGGTCAGAGATCAAGGGGGCTGTGAACAAGGATGGGGTGATTGGTGGAGAGTTTAGATGTCTACTGGACAGACTTCAAATGTATGTAAAGCAATAGAAAGAATGAGGAAATTCATCAATTATTGTATGTAGCAGAAAATAACAGATTTATCATTTTATATTACAATCCATTTATTAATCACATTTTCCATTTCCTGTAAATTATATCATTATAAATCACATTGATATCACTACGGAGTTTGCATAGTACAACTGTTGAAGAGCACCTGAAGGCACTTTAATAAGAAGGTATAGTTATGCTTTTGATCCCTGCCACCTGATCTAAGCTAGACCTAACCTAAATTGTCATTTGAAATACCCTGAAAATTCTTGAACTCTGCGGTCATCTGATATAGGTATATATCTGGGGCAGGATGGCATGAGATTACTGTAGGTCAGGAGCAGGGGTGGACTGACCATTCGGAAACTTGGGCACTGCCCGAGACCCCGGGGTAAGTAGGGGGCCCCACGAGATGCCCCTGGTACCTTTTTCATAGGCTTTTTTGAATTTGGGCAAGGACACAGGGGCCCCATGATCCCCTATTGCCCAGGGGCCCCATGAGTTGTCAGTCCGCCCCTGGTCAGGAGGCAGGGAACAATAGGATAACTGTCTTCCTATGAAACTACAGCCGCCTTTTAATTTTGGCTGCAACGTAACTAAAACGGAGACAGCTATGAAACTTTGTGTCCAACCTGGAGTAAACAGCATTTACATCTACTTTAAAGAAGAATGCCAGGCATGCTGTGTCCAAGCTGGGCCAACATAGCTATGTACTGTATATACCATACCTGGAGGATGCCCCCGGAAGCTGTAAGTCACTGAAGTAAAACAGCTACTTTCTCCGATTGGACAAGGTGGAGAGGCAGGAAGGTGATGTTACATTCACCACCTCGTACAATCAGAGAATGCTTTGTACTCATTCAGAAAATACAAAGCATTCCTGAATGGAGCCCGTGCTGAGCAGTTGACCTCCCATGCCATCAGGCTGGCCATTTGTCATGGGACCTGGAACCTAGAGGAGGACACTGTAGTAGTGGTGTTTGCTTCAGTTACTCACAGCTTCCAAGGGAATCAACCAGGTATGGTATATACAGTTACGATGCTCCAAGCTGGACCAATGTAAAAATAAATCATGCCTAGAATTATTTTTATATCGCTTACAGGATAAGTTAACCTTTGGACAAAAATAATAAATGCACATTTTTTTTGCAGGTAAAAAATGTGCATTTATTATTTTTGTCCAAAAGAGCCTGGAAAGCATTGCACCAGCGATCAGTAGATCGCCGATGCCATGCAGGTCTCCTGCAGACCCGTCAGAATATCTGCTTGCCGTACGGGATGTACGAGTCAGCAGATATACTAATAGGAAGTTTCACACTGATGCGGTGCGGAATTTGCAGCGGTTTCTGATCAAATTCTGCACTGCATCATAATCATACCCCGTTCATGCGAACCACTGCAGGTGTGTATGTTAACAACACCCTCAAATCTTATAAGGATGTACGGCCAAGCAGATATTCTGACAGGAAGCTTCAATGAACTACCACAGCGCTCCACAGCACCGTGGTAGTTCATTGAAAACTACAAGCCTACAGCTGCTAAGGCTAATGGGGCTTGCATTTCATTAATTCACCAGAGCCCCGCATGGCCGTGCTGTTTGATAGTATGGGGAGACTTCTCCCCGTATTATCTGTCAGAGGGAGGGGGGGGGTGGCAGGCGTGGCTGCAGCATTGGGAACATGTTACATGTTCCCCCCCAAAAATGGGTGGAACATGTAACATGTTCCAAAGGTGAACTTATCCTTTAAGGACCGCCTGTCTGCAATGTACTGTGAACGGGCAGCCCGTAATGGCATGTCACTGCGAGCTTTTGGGTATAAGGTGCACGCATGCGCTCCCCTTCCCGCCAACACCCACTGTGATTGTACACAGCAGGAGTCTGTGATTCATGGCTGACACCTGCTGATCGATTATGTCCAATCAAAGCCCAGAGCTCTGTGTTAATTAACACAGGGCTCTGTACAGAGAGAACAATCTCTCTAGTTCTTATTCCTGCAAAGCAGGAATAAGAAACAAAAAGGTCTGTTAATAAAAGCAGCACAATGTCATTATATATACACACACACACATTTACACACACACACTATATTGCCAAAAGTATTAAGACGCCCCTCCAAATCACTGATTTCAGGTGTTCCAATCACCTCCATGGCCACAGGTATATAAAATCAAGCACCTAGGTGTAGCAATATGTTATATGCTGTGTATGGCCTCTAGGGGTCTCACTACTTAGATACTGGTACAACTGTGTTATTGCCTCTCTTTGGTTGTAGTTCTTAGGATATACACATGTATAATGGCAGCTATGAGCACCTAATAAAAATGTCTGCTACGAACTACAGTGTGTGAGCATCTGAGCAGGATCGACTAACAGAACACTAGGCATGCAGACTGCTTCTACAAACATTTGTGAAAGAATGGGTCGCTCTCAGGAGCTCAGTGAATACAAGCCTGGTACTGTGATAGGTTGCCACCTGTGCAATAACTCCATCCATGAAATTTCTTTGCTACTAAATATTCCACGGCCAATTGTTAGTAGTATTACAACAAAGTGGAAGCAACTGGGAACAACAGCAACTCAAAAAACAAGTGGTAGGCCACATAAAATGATAGAGCGGGGTCAGCGCATGCTTAAGCGCACAGTGCGCAGAAGTCGCCAACTGTCAGATGAGCACAACAACAGTGCGTAGAGAGCTTCATGGAATGGGTTTCCATGGCCAAGCAGCTGCATCCAAGCCTTACATCACCAAGTGTAATGCAAAGCGTCGGATGCAGTGGTGTAAAGCACGTCTCCAATGGAGCGGTGGAGACATGTTCTCTGGAATGAAGAGTCTAGGTGGAGTGCGGCAGAAATTCGTTCATATCTTTAATAGAATGTGGAGACTGACTACAATGGCCAGCACCCAGGATGTCCATGTACAAGAGAGGTCAGTACTGAGCAGAGCTATGGATCTGTGTGTGTTTCTATACTGTGTAGGAGAGCTGCAAGTCTCCTATCCAAGGGCTGGAAGTATAGCCTAAGGCTAAGCTAAACTATTGGAGCTCAATGACAATGTAAATTGTAAATCCAAGAGGTGGCATATAGCTACTCAGATTAATCTATTTGTAACACAGATCATTTTTAAAAATTTTCCCTTCTTTAATTTTCTTCTTTCATTGATGGTTATTTTTATTATTTTAGACGTCCTCTATTAATTGGTCGTCACAGATCTCCAGCATTCTGCAAGTGCATTTATACAGACGCCCAGCAGGTTTCCTTCCAAGTGAGCCTATTGTGTGATTAGTGGGTCTCACTACGCATTAGTGAGCCAGCCAGCCATAGCACCAAATCTAATGACACAATAAGCTGTCAGATAGCACTTAGCGCACCCCGGAGTCAGTAAGTACTATTGTGAAATATTACAAAATCTGCATACTAACAAACTATAGTCCTCTGCCTTACTTTATTTTATTTTTTTGGCATTATGACAGCTTTACACAGAGAGGCAGATTATCTTTTATAGGGAAATGTCAGCATATGCCATCATGTTTTATACAATACTAAGTGCCTGATCTCTGAGCAAATAAACTACCAGTAGACTTGCATCCAGCCTCTTCCTATGCATGAGCTGTTCTAAAATTACAAATGTGACACACATACACACGCATAGAATCAATACTGACCTACCTCCTGTAGGTAGGACACCACATCACAATTAGTGTGGTGTTTGTGCTGCTAAACTCTCAGAAGTAAAAGGCATACAATATGTTATAAAGAGATAATATGTGAGCGCTATCCGAGAATCTATAAAAGATAGCAGCTAGAACACCAGAAAAGGTAACCAAGAAAGAACCTTCCAACAGAGTACATATATATATAAGGTGCAGCGCTAAAATAACAAATATCATATTATAGCATAAAATCAAGTGCAAATATCAGATCACACTGAGGTGAAATTGAGTGAATAAAAAGCCCCAGGATAAATACAGGCCCAACGTGGGGATCCAATAGATCCTAATGAGTGCATGGGGTAGAGTTCCAGTGTACCACACGGTGAATCTCGGGTAAAAAAATGCGCACTCACCAGAAGTGCATCAAAAATACGCATGTGAGATTTATCCTGTTACATCAGGTAGCGGTCATCTACTGCCAAGATAAGGACAGGGTCATACACCTTCCAATCGCAACTCGGGGTAGGAACTCCAAGATCCTTAAACGTGTCTCAAACGTGTCACCATCTGGGGTCCCCTTTTTAAACAGGTTCTGCAAGTGGGGAAATTACTTCAAGTTAGATACAAATGTCCACAATTGTAGGTGGTAGCAAAGTAGCAGCAATCACTGAAACTCTGTATCTGTCCTCTGCTTCACTCATCATTCACCATTCTCAGATTCCACAGTCCTTCTCCTCTCCATACAGACAGCATGTCCTTCCCTGACACTGCTTCCTGGTCACATGGCCATCATATCCTGTGAATCTGAGAATGGTGAATGATGAGTGAAGCAGAGGACAGATACAGAGTCTCAGTGATTGCTGCTACTTTTGCTACCACCTACAATTGTGGACATTTGTATCTAACGTGAAGTAATTTCCCCACTTGCAGAACCTGTTTAAAAAGGAGACCCCAGGTGGTGACACGTTTGAGACACATTTAAGGATCTTGGAGTTCCTACCCCGAGTTGCGATTGGAAGGTGTATGACCCTGTCCTTATCTTGGCAGTAGATGACCGCTACCTGATGTAACAGGATAAATCTCACATGCATATTTTTGACGCACTTCTGGTGAGTGCGCATTTTTTACCCCAGATTCACCGTGTGGTACACTGGAACTCTACCCCACGCACTCATTAGGATCTATTGGATCCCCACATTAGGCCTGTATTTATCTTGGGACTTTTTATTCACTCAATTTCACCTCAGTGTGATCTGATATTTGCACTTGATTTTATGCTATAATATGATATTTATGTTATTTTAGTGCTGCACCTTATATATACATACAATATGTTGTTCCACCTACCAACCTTCAGAACAAATGTAAAAACTGAAAGGAGACCAACAGTCAGTAAGGGCATAAAAACCTATACTCATGTAAAAATTAAGCACACTAGATATATCTGAACAGGCAGAAATTTTATCTTTTTTTAAAATATGCCTACAATTGAAGAATTCTAGGCATGGTATATTTTTATACAGCTACCTTGGTCCAGCTTGGACTAATGTAACTATATATCAGGGGCGGACTGACCATTTGGAAACTCGGGCATTGCCCCGAGGGCCCGGGGTCAGCAGGGGGCCCCATGAGATACCCCTGGTACCTTTTTCATAGGCTTGAGTTTGGGCAAGGACACAGGGGCCCTTATGATCCCCTATTGCCAGGTGGCCCCATGAGTTGTCAGTCCGCCCCTGCTATATATACACAATACCTGGCTGATGTCCTGGAAGCTGGAAATTACTTAAGCAAATACCACTTCTCCATTGATCGCCACTTGCTTTCGATGAATGATGCATTGTGAACACAGGAGGTCTGTTGCTCAGCAGGAGCACCATTCAGAAAATGCTTTCAATTACTAAATGAATGAAAAGCCTTGTCTGATTGGACAAGGTAGAGAGGTGAGATGGTGAAGGCATAACTTTTCACTTCATCCATTGAGAGAATGATTTGCATTCATTCAGAAATGCACAGAGAATTCCGAAATTCTTGTTTAGTACGGGATCCATAAGCAAGTGGAGATCACTCAAGTAGCAGTGTCTACTTTCCAGCTTCCTGAGGCATCGGCCAGGAATATAGTATATGCATAGTTACATTGGTCCATGCTGGACCAATGTTACTATATCAAAATATACCATGCTTGGGATTCTTTAAGGCGATATACTTGAAAATAAAGAAGACAAAAAATGATTTTTTAATAACTTCAACAAAACAAAAAATGTATTCAACAATGGACGTAATTGTATACTGTGGAAAATGTAAGTACAGCCTTGGCTTCATAAGTTGTTATTGCCCCCTGTAGCAGAAATTACTTCTCGTAGGCATTTTGTATAACTGCCCACTAGTTTGACATAGACTTGAAGTTTTTTTTGACTGCTCCTCAATGCAAGATTCACTCAGCTGCAAAATGCTTGTGGGTTTCCTACATGAACGGTTTCTTTCAAAATCATCAATTTAACATTTCAATGAAAATCAATTTTTACTAGGGAAGGTTTTTTTTGAGCTTGGTTGAAAACCGTCTATTCCTTTTTTGTGTGCTTTGATTGAAAGACCCCTTTTACAGCTTAACTTAAATTTTTGATGACAGATGGGTTGTCACCAAAACAGGGGTAGAGGGGAAATCTTCCAATGAAAACACTAGTTTTGAAGACTCTGATGACAATCAGTATTCCCTCCTTTTGGAGGTATTTCCTCTCACTTTCAGTTTTGGGTATGGTACAGAAAGTGCAGTAAAATCACCCCAATGGGAAATAGTTGACAAAAAAAGGGGCTATAACCCTCCCTTACTCTAAAATGAAAAAAAAAAAGTTTTGGCTTTAGTTCTACTTTAACCACTTCTTGACCATGCTATAGTCGAATGATGGCTACAGTGCGGTCGTCCAGTTCTGGGAAGGCGTAATATGGCATCCTCCCAGCATGTGCCCCCCGCGCACCCCCAGTGGCACCCCCTGGCGCTCTCTGTGATCGTTGTAATGGTAAAGGGTCAATCACAGTAGCCTTTTACCACGTGATCAGCTGTGTCCAATCACAGCTGATCACAATTTAAATACATTTGCCGTTTTTTAGCAGTACTTTCCGCATGCTGTCACAGCTTGAGGAAAGTACTGTGGATAACCAGCAACTGTGAAAGGAGACATCGACACTAATAATCAGGGCATTGATGATCAGTGCAGCCCCAAAAGTGCCCATCAGTGCCCAACAGTGCTGCCCTACAGCGCTGCCTATTCGTGCCATCAGTGAATTTCCCAGCAACACTCACCAGCCAGCCTGCAAAACAACCAATTTGGCCCTGTCTAACAGTTTCAGTTAAAAACAGAGGGTAGCAGCTTGTATACAAGTGGCATATATCCATGAAACTGTGGGGTGGGGAAAGCCTCGGCCACTAATAATTGGCAATCCGCAGTGACAGCTTCCTGGCAGGATAGCTTAGGTGGGTTCAGAGCAGGATCTGAATACAGCGGAGCGAATCCTTGGTAGTGATCTACTAGCAATTGTCAGCAATTTTAAATCACACTTGCAGAAAATGCCAATGTTTTCCTAACCTAGCAGGTTTACCAAGATGGAAAATTACACAGCTAGTTCCCTGCTCCTATAACATGACACCAATTGTTAGAACAAAAAGTGCTGCAAACCTGCATAAGTTTTCCAAAGTTTACATAGTTTAAAATACTTAAAAAAGAATTAAGAATGGCTTTAAGAACAAGCTCTTTCTGCCTGACATTGCATAAACAAAACAAAAGTATTCTTAAAAGCGCAGCTCCAACAAAAACTTTGTCATTTATTTAATTTTGGGTACTGTGGGAAAGAATTAGAGCCTCTGTCATAAATTCATTGCTATCTGTGTAGCTATTGGGAAGATTTGTCCTTGCTACCTGTCAGAAAAAGTAATATAAAATCTTTGCAATGGGGACAAAGATATTTAAAGTGTAACTCCACTTTCGTGGAAAAAAAATGAAAAAAAAAAATTATTATATACAAATGCTACATAAGTCATACTGTAATTGAATGTCATTAAAAATTACTTTTCCTTTTCAATCAGCAACACTGTAATTTTCTGTACAATGCAATACAGTATGGTCACTTGTAGGCGTTCTGTACATAGATGGTGTAGAGAACACCCCCCAACAATGTAACTTCTTGCTTTTGTGATTGGCTTACTGATTTTCCCAGAATTCTGCATTAAGATGCTAACCAAGTGGGATTTTGGGCATCCCCTGCAGCAAAAATGTCAGTTTTAGCGAGATATTCCCAAAGGGAAATCATATCTGAAGGTATACAGGCCCTGCCACTTTCCTCAGAGCTCTGCAGGTGCAGCAGCTCATTGATCATTATAAAATCACTCCCATTCACTTTGCAAATGGACACAGATAAACAGCTATTTCTTAAAAAAAAACAAAAGTTAGGAAGTTTGTCATAAATCCTTGCAATGTACATAGATCACCCAGGGGGGGAATTTTTTTTTTCTTCACAACAGGGGAGTTACTCTTTAAATATGCTCCTCAATGGAAGCTTCACATGCCAAAATGCCTTTGCAAACTCAGATACTATCCTGTAAAAGTAGCAGTGCAAGTCTCATGATGCAACACATAGCTTGTGCAGCAAATAGAGATGTGAGAGGGACTCAATAACTCCACGTACTATAGGCTGGGGTTAGGTACAATCACTGCACAAGAAGAGAGAGCAGCAATGACCAGTCATTACAGGAAACTTCTACAAAGAGAAAAAGTGCAAGAGTTGTTTAATGCTGGATCACAAATGAATCTGGAAAATACAAAGGTTTCTGAAATTCAAATAAGAGCACACATGGCACATGTATTAAACCCCAATTTCATTCTGAATTCAGTTAGTTACTCAAAAATTTTACCTATAAGCTCATATTCATTTGACAACCAATGGATAACATAACACAAAACAAGGACATAGTAGCAAGGAACTGGCATAGCTATAGGGCAAATGCAGCTTTTAAGACACCCATGACTCCTATCAGCAAGCAATCCTTTGGAAACTTCAGTCAGGTCATTGAACACAATAGACTATATGCTATCACCTGTGCCAGAGCTCTAAATGAGAGCTGTGTCACAAAGCCTTTAAATCAGCATTACAACGCTTCCTTCTAATCAGCATGAAAAGCCTACTGCTATTGCCTGCAGCCCTGAAACCTTTCTCTCTACTGGAATTAAACAGATGACACATTTACGCGTTAATAATTTAAAATTGGAAGGAAAAAAAAAAAAAAACAGAAAAGAAAAATATTTTTTTCTAAACAGCCTTAGAGCTTCAAATCATTAAGTGGTAAAAGGAGTAAAATCCAATATAAAATAAAAATGGAATTGAATGTTTCTAATAGGTAATTCTAATTTGGTTAATTGACTCTAATTACTTGTATGATGGGGCTCTTGAAAGCCATAACAGGTTTACAGATGAATATATAAAGACTGATCAGATTTTAATGCTGAAGCAGATGGACCTAGCTGATAGGAACATTGTAATACATCTATAAATGACCTGCACAGGGAATGCCGTTTTAAAAAGTTTAAATCCCGCTAACAAAACACCGTAGTAGCTTTAATGGATAGTAGATTGGAAAGTTGGGTTATATATCTGTCAAAGGAATCATTATAAAGGCTTTCCTCTTATTTTCTTCATTATATGGCTTAAAATCAACTTTTTTCCCTGACTGTTTAATAATCTTATTGTGATGTCCCTTGTATATTTTAAAACATTAGAATGTGAAAGAGGCAATAAAGATAGGCCCAAAGAAAAAAAAAAAGGAGAATAGGGGAAATCAAGGAGATGTAGGGTTAGTAAGAGATAAGAGTTTACTTTCAAGGTCAATATCCTGCGCTTGAGTGTGGTGCTTTACAACTTGAAAATTGTCCACTTCCCTGGTTTTCAAATATAGCGCCGACGTGCCTTACTTCACCTTTCAGGACTTGTGGGTATTGTTTCATACAACACTACAAAACAACAAAGAGGGTGCACAGGCCTAGTGCATATTTGTTAAAAAATTTTATTCAGAGCCTACTTTGGCTCTGAGAATGAGGGTTGCCACTCGAAACGCACGCGCCACATTGGGCGCTGAAAGGTCTTCCCATGCTACCTATTGAACAGTACGGATCTGGACACAGTCTCATCTGAATTTTTTGATACGCGTGTCATTGTCATGTGTTTGTGAGTATATCACTTGTTTCGTTTATTAACAAAATTGGGTTGTGAAAATGCGCTAGGCCGGAGCAGCCTTGGTTTTTTGTTTTGTAGCGATATGAGATTACTTACCAAGATTGGCTAGACTGAAGGTGGAGGAGGGGCTGAAAGGGTGTTAATGAGTGATCTGAAAATCTTCAAGCAGTTGGAAAGCAGCAGATGAAAAAGAAACTTCCTATCTCCTCGCCCTGCATCATGGATTGGTGCTAATTGGTGGCCATAGTGGCCAGGTGGTTTGGGTTATTGTAGGCATTCAAAATTCACAGTGATAACTCATATTAAGCACCTATCTATGGTATGGTGTCTTCTGTTGAATCTCAGCTAACGGTGGGTTAACTAAGAGTTTGGGACATGGAGATATCTGTGGAGGATTGGGATTGTCCCCAAGCTGGTATGGTGCAGACCTTTAACTGGTTACGCAGACACAAACCAGATGTTGGTTCTTTTGTGCCTCCAAAGATCAGCAACCTTCATGGTTATTGTTAGAGATGAGCGAATTATTCAAAAATTCGATTCGGCTGATTCGCCGAATTTGCGGGAGAAATTCTATTTGATGCGAATTTATTTGCCGCGAATTTAACTTATTAAAAGGGTTTCTAGG